GGAAGAGGGAAAGCATGATGATCTCATCTGCAAACAGAAGCTGTCTGAGATAGCTTCTGCTCGCAGATGACATCATCATTGCCCCTCTTGCCGCTCGCCCTTCTCTGCATTTGTCCCTCTTGCCGCTCGCCCCTCTCTGCATTTGCCCCTTTTGCCGCTCGTCCCTCTTTGCGTATGAAGTAACCTTCTTTCTACAGATCTTGGATCCAAACGTCAGTCGGCTGTCAACCGGGTATAAAAGAGACCTGGCTGTACGCCTTTTCACCAGATCCTGTTCGCTTCTCGACAGCGAACATCCGATCCTCTACTAGTGTTCTCGTAGTCCGCCGAGTGTTCTCGGAATCTATGCCAGCTGCCTTCCAGTGCATGAGCGTTCTCATGAACCTGCCGAGTGTTCTCGGTATTCTCGGTCTTCGCACACGAGCTTGTGCACTCGCCGAGCGTCCTCGGCTCCAGACCAGCTTCCGTGCACGAGCATTACTGTGCATCCGCCAAGCGTACTCGGCTTCTGGTTACCGTTCTCAATACGAGCGTTCTCGTATTTCATCGAGCGTACTCGGCTCCTAGTTATCGATCTTCGTGCAGTACGAGCGTTCTTGTATCCCGCCAAGCGTACTTGGCTCCTCGCTTCCGATCGCCATACATACGAGCGTTTTTGTATTCCGCCGAGCGTCCTCGGTCCCGAGCATAAAACACTCCGCAATACCATAGTCCGCCAAACATTTATACGAGCGTCCTCGTAATAAAAGACGTACACCCGCTTATCCACCCGGCAGGCAAACCGCTTCAAAAGCGAATTCAATCCCGCGTATCCGTGCGACCGAGCGCTGCACGCGCAACCAACCACGACCGATCTACGAACGGACTCGCGTCGCGTTCACGAACGCACTCGCTATCGTACACACATTTATCTTGGGAGCTTTCCATCAAGGCATTTAAGCGACACACATCGACACGGTGTCAGACACGGTGCTTTTCAACAATGACACAGCAGAAGAGCATAGTCGAACACAGAGTCTAGTTCATGGCTGCCAATTTTTGGGATGGTATTCTAGAGAATTTTCATTTTATCCATCTGCAAAATATATTTATACTCATCGCGATCGTAAACAATAATAAATGATGGTTATGTTTGATTTGTACGTACTTTAATGCCAATATGCTCTTGGTACGCCAATTTTTCAATTAAATGAACTTACTAGATATCATGGGAAGATATAAGCAGACTCTAGCAGTCTAGTTCAGAACTAAACGCATTCCATCAAGTATCCAAGCACGATGTTTGACCGTGTCACACAGTGTCGATCTTAGAACATATATACTGGAAGGGGCATAGCTGACTTGCCGTTGTCCTCAACATCTATCTATCCTTGTCTGTACATTTTATTGCAATACGCATGCGTCGATTATTTTGATGTGTGTGATGACAAACTAGACAAGCTTATCTATGACAAGCCTTCCAATATAATCAAGTCTAAAGAAATAATCATAAAAAAGTATACAAAACTAATACTATTTAAACATCAATGAAGTTTTTAAATATTTTTTTATTATTTATTATAATAATTTTTATTGTACTAGTTA